CATGTAGCATGTGCACTGCATAAAGAGAATATTTTGGAGGGGCAGTGGGTGAAGGTGTTTCCGCAGTGGAAATTAAAGAAAACACAAAAGGAATATTTATGTGTAGTGCAGATCTCTGGGCCCGGTTACAGAGAGCAGGTTCAGTTAAAACTGTCACGGTTAGTCAACTCAGAGTTCAGGGTGAGGCTCAGAGTTAGTTAAACCTGCTTTCTGAAACAGGGCCCAGGTGTATTTAACGGTCAGGTCAGTAGTGTAGGACTACTGGGACTAGTTACAGATATATAGCTCTTTAATACCTGTAGATACATGACTGCGATTGTCCAGAAGATGGCAGCACCTCTAGACTAAAATACAGTATATGCCTGTTTATCTCTCACAGAGTTCATGATATAGTTGAATTTTCATATTAAATTATTTTGTAATTTCGCTACACATATCAGGTACTTCTCTTCGTAGTAATAGTTGTATATATACTAGTAGTGGTAGTAGTAAGTATTAAATCACTTCAACTGCTTGGATCAGATACAGCAGCTCATAATTAAACTTCAGCTGTTCTGGCCTCATAGAGAAAGATGGGGACCGCCATGGAAACACATGGAATTACCCCTCCCCCAATCAGCAGGCTGTGTTTCTTGGAAAAATATCTCGAATATGAGGCTGACTGGCATCTTACCGTAGACCAGTATAAATATTTGCAGGATGTGTGTTCTGTGCTGCCAGGTTGGTATTTGTACCTTTAAGTATACTTCACTGCCCCTTGAGGAATTTGTCTTGCCTGGTATCCTTCAGAAACATTCAGACTATAGACACTTAACTATGTATATATATATATATATATATATATATATATATATATAGTTAGTTATAAGTTATACAAATATACATATATTATCTAATATTATTTTAAAAAGAGCTAGTGTTGTATCCAGTGTGTCAGTAGCAGCACACAGTGATGGTAGAGGATGCTTCAGCTTAATATGATACATTTTCTCATGTTAAATCTTGCAAGCAACGCAGAATAACTGCATAAAGCTGAATACACACATTGTTGTACATAAGATAACAACATTCAATAATTCACAAATGATGATGTTCTAACACAAGTGCAGTGTTAGGCCCTTGAAACAATGTGCCATCATCTACAGACCAAAGTAACCCGTAAACAATGCAAAAACCTTTTGTTATGCAAACGTACAAAATGCTTCCAGACTATCATACTGGAGACTTGCACACACACACACACACACACACACACACACACACACACACATACAAACGCACACTTTTCCTGGCATTCAGCGACTTCTCTCTCACTGTCAGTTCCTTGTTCCCATGGCAACAGACTGTTCCAGACAGGCTGTCCTTTGATAGTGTAGAGTGCAGGAGCTGATATCTGCACAGTGAAAGAGGTCCAGACAGCTTTACGTTATTACAGCGATGGAAAAAAATAAAAAAAAGTATATCAGGACCAGTTATCTTTTTATGATTCTCGTGGATATTGTGTTAAATTTGCATGAACTAAACATTTTGATTATGCCCGAAATGTAAAGATTTCCATTGTTTATCATTTTTTTCTGCTGATGCAGCAGTTGTTTATAAGAGGACCTAAATGACTTATCCTAGATCAGGGGGAAAGGGATTGCGCTTCACTTTCTGTACAAGTGGGGTGGACGTGCCATGTTTCCCCTTGATAGCAGACCCTGCTGTCAAAATCAATGCTTGTAAAAGCCCTTCAACTTCAATTGGATCACTGTGTCAAGCATTTTACCAGTAATCTAATTATCCAATGGACACCTGCACAGGATGTACACATCCGCTCGCTAATTCATGAAACTTAGTCACAATCCGTTTCGTGCACACACACACACACACACACACACACACACACACACACACACACTTTGAGCAGAGTGAGTAAGGCCAGTAGTTATAGAATGATCTCATCCTGGGACACTGAGAGATGATGTCAGACTTTAGAACAGGGCCCTGGTGCTGCCGCTGAGCTACTGCAACTGTTTATGTTTTTACAGGTCACGAGAGCTTGCAGTGTGGGGGAGGGGGGAGGCGATGTGCAAGTGTGTGTGTGTTTGTATTTATGTGTGTATAGAACTTGAGAACTTGAGAATGTTTTAATACTTTTGCTTTATTATCGCCTCCAGCGACCATGCAGACCATGCGTTCGGACATGTGTGTGTGTGTGCATGCACGTGTGTGTATCCGTCTGTCTGTCCACGGTTTATCTCGCATACAGCTGGACCCATCAGCCTGATGTTTTTTGTGCTTATTTAAGACTACATGTTCAATGACTTCTCATGGTTGTGGTTTTTGACTGTTTCATACCATAAATACCTGCAGACTCATCACTCCTCTTAACCTGCTAGGCTAGGCTAAAAAAAGGCTAAAAATAAACCTGAATGTTAGGATCCACTTAAGATAGATACAAGATTAGAAAATCACAGTTTTTGTTATCTTGACTTGTTTGGGAGAGTTGAGGAAGACACACTTGGCACAGGTCTGCACTCTACTGAGTGCACTTTTCTAGTTTGGATCTGTGATTCTTTTATTTTTTTTTTAAAGTAAGAAATCTGGACTTTTAACATATTGTGACTATACGGAAGACAATCTAACCAGGCCATCAGCTAATCTTTTCTTCTTTGATTCGTATCTATTTAAATCCATTTCCTTCCTCAGTTGTGTGGGTCTGCAGAGATTTAACATGTATTCCTTCTAGGCAGAGGGAACTGATTTGTCCTTTTTTCTTTCTCTACTCATTATTCAGCTGCGTTCACAACCTGTAAAATGAGTGATTCTTCATCTTCCATCCTCAGATCGTTCTATTTTCACAACCGTCTCCTCCCAACTTCTCCCATGGGTGCTCCCAGTACGCTCCCCCTGTTTCACTCGGTCCTCCCTCCTTATTTCTTTCCTCCTGCTCTGGTCCTCCCTCTCATCTTTGTTCTCCCAGAATCCTTGAAATAATCAGTTTGATCTTATTTCCTCCTCCTTTCTTGTCCTCACCCCCTCATCCTCCACCTCTCACTCGTTCTTTTTTTCTTCTCTCTCTCTTTTGCTGGTGATCTCATTTCCAGGATGTGTGCGATGTCGAATGTCACACATGCATTTACTGTCAGTGGAGGTTGGTGAGGGGAGAGATGAGGAGAGGAGAGAAGAGGAGAGGAGGGGAGGGGAGAGACAGCGACAACAGGACACACCCTAGTGTGACCTCATGCATATCCCTCTCTCTCCTCCTGCGTTGTAAGCGCTTTCATCTCGTGTGCCTGTGGACAGCGAGGTGACATCATGTTAGTCGTGTGAGCTGAATGCAGGATCAAAGGGCGGCAACAACAGAGACGTCCGTCTGCATCTCCTCAGTGTTGGTCCTCTGCCATCCACACAGTTTTCCTTTGTTACTCTGATGTCTTCACATATTTAGAAAAATTATTATGATCGAAAAGACCATTTTTTTCATTAGTAGTGGTGGACTTATATTAACGCCAGTGCACCAGCAGCAGTTGCAGTAATAATTGTAGTGACGGTCATTCAGCAGGGATGTGCACAGGCTCTCCAAGGGACAGGGACAAAACTGAAAAAAGCATGCAGGATTAGGGTTACATTACACTAGGGACAGCAGCCACAGAGCCCCTGTGGGGACATTAGGGCAAATGTGAAGCATTAACCAGTTAAATAAATGGCAATCGACCTCCTGTCACTTCCAGTAGCTTGGGATACATGAAGACAGCGGTGATTCAGTGATATTCCATTTTTTTAAGACTTATCCGGTAATAATTATTATATTTTGTGGCCACTTGGGGGCAGCGGAAACAGCAAGCTGTGATCACAAGATGGACATACTATCACCTTTTAGGTTGATATGATAAACATATTAACAAACCATTTCTATTTACACATCCAGCACATACAGACAGAGCAGCGTTAGCATTCGGTTGAAGTCATGTCTCTGGTCGCCTGATGTAAGTCTAATATTCACTCTCTCTTTACCTCGGTTTTTGGTCTCCACCAATAATATATCTGAAATATCTGACTCTTTAACAGCTAAAAGCTCCACTATGTTCAACAGCTAGTCGCTAACTGTATCTGCCGTTTGGTAATGAGTCGTGTCCAGTGGGTTTTTAGAGTTTTGATGTTTGATGAGAGCTGCGAGAGTGAATCAAAACAGTACAGTTGAGGGCAGTAAAAACCAAAACAACACGATGAAAGACACTAAAATGAACTCCAGAATCAGGTGATGACTGTGAGTTTGACACAAGCGACCTCTTTCTTGTTACAAGTAGTCATGGGACGACATCACTTTTTAAATAAAATATTGCTAGGACAGCAGAATACATCATATGAAAATGAATATGTCGGACCATATTTTTTTTATCAAAAAAGAATGCAATCAGGTTCCAGCAAAAACACGCCTATAACACAATAGCTACACTTCTACTTTGGTAGTGGCAAAATAGTGGTAATGATAGTAGTAGAAGGAGTTGTAAAGTAGTTCAGATAGTAGTAGTAGAGGTACTAGTATATGTGATCTTAACACAAATATAAAATAGAGTTATTTTGAAGAACTGCATGTGCTTCACACTACAAAAGGTTCTCTACTTGTTCTTGTATATACTGTCAGGTTCTAAATAATTTAGTGTCCTGCATGCTTCCAAGCTGGGCCCCCTGCTGAGATGCACACACACACACACACACACGCACGCACACACACAGACGACCAATCTTCACCAATTTCTCACACTACTTCGCTCAACCCTCCACCATGCCTAATATGCATACCCACACGCACACACTCCTGCGCCATATAATAAAACAGTGGTCCCACCACCAACCCTGCAGTACAGCACAAAGAGCTCACAACCCTCCCCCGATCATTCCTCTGCGCTCTTATTGGCTGAGAGGCTCCAATGCTGGCCGCGTCTCGGGCCAATGAGATGTCTCCAAGGTGATGTCATGGAGGCAGCGTTGATGCTGATGCTGTTGCCCGGCGCCTGTATCCGTGCAGCCAGACGGGGATAACCGTAGTCACCGGTCCATCAGCAGCAGCGGAGAAGACAGGGCCAGAGGGGGGTGAGTCTGCATCACGAGACACTCAGCTGCACACATCTGCATTTCACTTCATGAACTTTTATGTTTGAATGTAAAACTGAAGGTCATGTGCGAGTGTTGGTATAGGGTGTAATGGGGCGAGGGGTGAGGATAGTGATGTAGTGGTTGCTGCTGACAAAAGGGAGAGAACTCGGTGTACCCACAAACTGTACGCTGTGTGACATGTGTCATTTATTATTCATCCGCCATATGTGCAGACACAGCTTTGTGTCTGCATTTGGGAAGGGGAGAGGAAAATGAGTTTGTACGTGCTTTTATGGTGAAAAGGTATGTGTGTGTGTGTGTGTGTGTGTGTGTGTGTGTGTGTGTGTGTGTGT